TCTTCGAAGGGCAAGAACATTCAACAACTATGAAAAGCTTTTTTGGGTTGCCCACATTTGAAGGTAGGCTGAAGTGTAAATATTGTAGGTTAAACATTTATTCTGTTCTTCTACTTATTTTTCAGTTTATTCCATTCTTAATTTCTATAAGGACATAATCACGCTGGTTGTGGCTTATTTGACAAATTCTATGAAGAAGTTTGGAGATGAAAATGAACAATTCATTATGAAGCATCAATGTAGGATGTATATGTTAACAAAAGGAATAGAGGAAGCAAAAAAGAGAGGTTGAAGGATTAAGGATCAATAATGTTGAATTAGAAGTTGCTATGAAGAATATGATCAAGTGGAAAAAGTTTTGGAAGCTTATGTTTTTTTTTGTGTTCACTGTTGTAATAGTCAAAATGCAGTCAACCAGTGAAATGACAATAAACTTGTTCAACATTCATTCAACCTTGTTTAGAGTCATTCAACCTTGTTCTTACATGGTTACAAAACATAATTCAGACTATATTAGATTGTTGGAGTGGTTTATAATATTGATAAACATTAGAAATACAAAAGTGGATCCAGAATATAGCTAAACATTAGAGATATTAAAGTGGATCCATAATATATCTAAACATTAGACATAAACGTTCTTCTTTGGAGTTGATCTCTTTGATGGTGTAGTCCTCCTTATGGTGGGGCCAACTGTATTTTGGGATGCACTTAGCTTGGTTGTTAGACCCTATATAACATATGAAGATGTCTTCCTAATAGGTAACTTCTTTAGCCTCCCTTGACTTTCCTGAGAGGCTTACTGAGAAGCCCTAACCTGAGATGTCTGATGAGTGCCTTGAGATTACTGAGATTCCCTTGCTGCTTTGTCCTGATATACCTGCTAAGTTCCTTGAGATTGTTAAGTAACCTTTGTTGTTATGTCTTAAGAGGTCTGTTGAGCTCCTTGAGATGTCCTTTGAGTGCCCTAATATGCTTGTTAAGTGCCTTGAGATGCTTGTGCATATGGTGTCATCCTACATGTAGACTTATTGGGTCCAGTTTGCTTGCACCTACTACACCTAAGAACCATTCCAATTTTTCTCATTTTATGATTGGTCCCATCTATTTCACCCTTCTAAAGGTTCCTCATCTTCTTGGGTTTTCTGGCATTTTTTGTATTTGGGAGGTTGAACATCTAGATACTCTGCCCTCACCCATAAATTCTTTCCATTGACGAGAAAAATGACTGGACTATAGATAGACTGGTAACTAGATTTCTTGTACAACTTTGGGATGTAGTCATCAACATTTAGGTTTCTACTCTTGAATGATGATATTTCATGGACACAAGGAAGAGCAGTGAGTTATCATTTTCTACAAGAACATTGTTGATCATTCAAGTCTACAGAAAAAATATATGCATGATTCTCAATATGCCTAACCTCAAAGATGTACTCATAAGACATCCGACAACATTATGAACAATCAGTAATGAACAATCAATAAAGAACATGATAATATAGAGTTATATTACTATCCAGTAGTTTGTATATGTGTTGATTCTCTCTACTTTCTTCTTAATGTTTGGTAAAACACCCCAATCACTTAAATGTGGAAATCTTGTCATATTAGCTGATCAGAAATGAATGTATATGATAAATATTCATTCCTACCTCCTAGATCATCAATAAAAAGCTCCAAAAACCATGACCAACTATTTGTTGTTTCCCCTCCACAACAATAAAGGCTATTGCTAACATCTGATCATTAGGATCTCTACCAATTTCTACAAAAATATAATCTCTTTAAATAAGGCCTTGTATCATCAACACCTTCTTCTGCAAGTGTGGCATTCAATTTGGCAGTTGAGCCTGAATTTGTCCTTAGAATTTCACTACAGCGGTCATAAATTCTTGTGTAGTCCCCTAAAAATGAACTATCAACCATATCCCTAAGTGCAAATCTAGACCTACCCCTTACATTCTATTTCCTTTGAGCCTTTTTTTATATCCCTTATCTTCATCATATGATTATTTTTTTAGTGAATTTTGAATCCTTTTACTCATCCATTTGGTACTCATCATCTTCACATTATATTCTCTACATATAAATTATTTTTCTAAGTTGCCAAGTCTCCTCATTTAGCCATTTTTCTAAGCATGATTCCCACTAACAACCTTCTTTACATACCACCCTGACCATTTGTTTGTCATTTTTCCTAAACTTTAGGTTTCTCCCAAGTGGACATCATATGTTTGTATGGCTTCCTTAAACTAACTTTTTGAACTAAAATAAGTTCCTAGCTCCCACTTGTAATCTTCCATATCTTGCAGTAACTTGAACATGGAATACTTCTTCTTTGTTGTTCCATCACTTCCATTACTTCTATCACTTTCATATCCACTTTCTAATTCTTCACTTTCGTTTGTACTCCCCTTCTCCTCTCCACTTCCATCACATTAACATTCAAAAAACCAATATTACTACTATGCATCTCACCAACACCATCATTTAGACCCTCACCAACACCATCTTTCAAACCCTTAACAACACTGTTCAAACCCTCATAACCTTCATCATCCCTAGTGACTTCTTCATAAATCTTTGCAATCATGTCTTCTTCATCGGGGTTGAATGTCTCCTCAATAATTATATCTTCCTTCATATTTATATTTCCTTCTATAGGACCATCAACATACTCAGGTTAGGACATGGGATGTTCTATGTAAATATCAACACTCAAGTGAACCCTACATGAGTTAGCAATATCTAACGCACCCTATCTTTAATCACATTCATCCCAAAAGAAGGGTTAATATAATAAATGATATCTACCTCATTATAACCTAGATCCTTCAGTATACCAACCAACTCAAAGAAACTCCACCCATCCACATATATTTTTACTTCATTGCATTTCCTCCTTCATACAAATTTTTTTCATTGTTTATAAATTCACCACTATGATGAGTTTTCAAACACAGATATTCATCCATCTTAACCTAAGTAAAAAAATAGCATAGATTTATTAAAGGGGAAAAAACCCTAGCATAATAACAACAAATAGGCGAAATAGGATTTACGAACATAAAAACCCTAAATTGAAACAATATAGCTAATGTTAACCTCAATTTCGCCTTCGTCTTCAACGATTCTCCAGATTACGCTTTCAAATGAAACAATAAAGCTTCAGCCTTCATCGTCTTCACTCAAACTTCATCATTTTCACTCTCTGCTAGGGTTAGCATTGTGTTGAAAATGAAATGAGAACGGACATTCAAATATGGGTTAGGATATAATAGATTTTTTCGTCCACGTCATCATCTACTTACCACGTCAGCTCTATTGGGCATTCAAAATTGACTTTGACTAACATTTACAATAAAAAGGATAAAAGTGAAACCATTTTAAAAGATAAGGTGTCAAAGTGGTCGCTTTAAAAGAAATATGACCAAAACAAACGCAAAGGTAGAGGTAAGGGACCAAAAAAGGTATTTAGCATATAATTTTTTTATTAATAAGATATGTTGTATTAATTTATTATTCGATGATATTTTTTTAACTACTTATTAATTTAAGTTAATTTATTTATTTTTATCATTTTATTTGTTTCAACCATAATCGATATATTTATTATATAATATTAATTTTTTATATACTTTATGTTATATATTATATCAAATTTATTATTTATTAACATTTTTATAATTTTAAAAATATATAATTTATAATTTAGATATAAAAAATTTGATTCAAATTAAACCACATGATATTAAATCTGATCAAATTTTTTTAACCAATCATCCAAAATCGAACTGAACTGTGAATAAATTTACCTTTGGATCAAATACATTTTTATCTCAAAACCGATTCAAATTAAAATCGTGAACACTCCTATTCCAATGATAACAAGTGGGATATCGTGAATTTGAACATGCAATCATGCATCTAGAGTCGCCAAAATGAGCTAGTTCATATGAGTCGGTCCGTCAAACCTGAAAAATCATAAGGTCCAGGCCTTAAAAATTAGAGTCCAAATTTTTTAGAGCACTTTTAACCCGACTAAAAAACTTGCTACTCATTAGGATTAACTGATATGAGTCACATATAGTTCGTTAGACCCACATAATTATAAATTTTAAAAAAGTTATACTAACACTTAAAGTGTCTAAAAAACATCACATTAATTTTTTTTACCTCACTAAATTTTATCTTTGTTCTATTAATCTTTCTCTTTTAAATATTTTAATATAATCAAATTAATATTAAATTATTTTGTGTTTTACTTCATAATTTCCCTTTTTTTATAATTAATTTATCTTATTTTAAACATTTAGTTATTATTATTATATACACTTCATGTATATTATTTAAAAACATATTATAATATTTATAGAAAATAATATAGTATTTAAAAATATATTAGGCTTAAAATAATATAATTTTTTAATTATATTTATAATAAATATTATAATATTTTAATTTTAATTTTATAAAAAATAATTTTAAAAAATCCCATTGATAGAATCGATTTGAATAGGAATTTTTTAGTTTATATTACAAAAATATTATTTTGACTCGACTTTAAAAAACTCGAGACTCATTAAAATCGAATCGTTTTGAATCGAATAACTTATTTTAAGAGACATAATCATATCCATACTAGACAAATATCAAATAAACTTAATAGAAGAAGATAAAATAATATTAAGATGTCACAAAATAATAATAAAAGTATTTCCCTTTACTAAACATATTCTTCATATTTCATGTAAAAAAATGTATATTTTATTTTATTTTATTTTTCCTCTCCTAGTCTCGTTTGTTTCCTTAACCTTAATCAGATTCTAAGTTAGATTTATGTTATCGGCATATACTAGGAATCTCATCTCGCTTTTGTCACTGTAACCGTGCATCTTAAGTCAGAACGACACAAAAATCACACGGAGACATTGTTCGATTCAATCAACCATTGTTGTAAAGTTTGATTTTTGAGTTCAAAGATCTGAGCTTTATTCATGGATAGTTCAGAGAAGGTTGTTGCTGTGATTATGGTGGGTGGACCCACAAAAGGTATTTGATTTCTGATCAAATTTCAAGTCTTTTTCTCATTTGAGATTTTTGGGGTTCATCATATTTGTTGAATTGCTTTTGCAGGGACTAGATTTCGACCTCTTTCTTTCAATACTCCAAAACCCCTTTTCCCTTTGGCTGGACAACCTATGGTTCATCATCCTATTTCTGCTTGTAAAAGGGTTTGCTTCTTTTTTCTCTCATCAATTTTTCTTAAGCTCTTTCATGCAGTCTCATTAGTGCTTATTCTAGTAGATGAGCTCAATTAGTCTAAAATTGAAATTGAATCTCAACATAAATACTGATGTAGAGAAGAGGTGATGAACCTGATTATGGGCCTGTTTGGATAAACAACTTATTTACAGCTTATAGCACAAGTGCTTACGAAAATAAGCACTTATGAATAAGCTTGTATAAGCCATTTTTATAGAAAAAGATAAAATAAATTTAAATGGTTTTTACACGTGTTATAAGTTGTTCTCATAAGCTATCTTGAAGTTATAACCTAAAAGGTGTGGTGTGTTTATATTTGCTTGTGTTGTTTTGTACAGATACCCAATTTAGCTCAAATATATCTTATTGGATTCCATGAGGAGCGAGAATTCGCTCTATACGTCTCTTCTATTTCAAACGAGCTGAAATTGCCAGTAAGGTGATAACTGCATCTTTACTATGAAATTTTAACGATGATGATAATAAAAGTTTATGTCCGCGTGTTTTGTTAAATTTCTGGATCTGACTATAGTGTGTTACTGATATCAATCTAGATATTTGAAGGAGGATAAACCACATGGCTCAGCAGGTGGCCTTTACTACTTCAGAGATATAATCATGGAAGACAGTCCAGTTAGGAGCACGGCCTTTATGACTGCTATTGCATTATTCTGCACATTATCTTTCGAATGCTTATATGTCTATGTTCTAACCGATACGTTACATTTTGACCGTAGTCACATATCTTTCTGCTAAATTGTGATGTTTGCTGCAGTTTTCCACTACCGTCCATGCTTGGTAAGTAAGTTTTTTTATTAAGTCACGAACGGTAGTTCTTCAGAAAACACGGCACTGCTGAAAATTTTCCTTTTTATTTTTTCAGATGCTCATATAAAGTATGGTGGGATGGGGACAATGTTAGTAATCAAGGTTGGTGCATAAATTATAAATAACATTTGGTATATTTGTTTGCATTGTTGCGTTAATATCATAAGCACTTATCCATATAAGTGCTTACGTATACATTATTTCTATAGTAAAAGATAAAATAAAGTCAAACTTTTTTCAACTTTTCATACAAACTACAAGTTGTTTTCATACACTGTCTAGAAGAGCTTATAGAATTAAGCTGAAAACAGCTTATAGACAGTTACTAGCCATTTTCATAAGTTATTTCAAACAATCTCTCAAGTGTTATTTCACGCTCCTTTGGTTGTGGATGCTTTGTATAGGTTTCAGCTGAATCTGCTAACCAGTTCGGCGAATTGGTTGCTGATCCAGACACTCATGAATTGCTGCATTATACTGAGAAACCCGAGACATTTGTGAGTATCTGTTTCGTTTCGTTTCTCGTTACGTGTTTTTATATTTTTCTTCTCAATAAAAAGTTAAATATCCAATATTGGAGCTTGATCGGTACTGTCATATATTTTATTTCTTTTGCTTCTGACTTTACCTTGAGAAGAAGAATAACCATTTACAATATGCAGGTTAGTGATTTGATAAATTGTGGTGTATACATTTTCACACCTGATATTTTTAATGCCATCGAGGATGTATCTACAAACCGAGAAGGAAGAGGTTTGTCTTTTTCTATCACAATTAAAAAAAATGTCTATAAGAAAAGAGTTAATTTAGAATTTTAAACATTTCAATCGAATGTGACTGTACTACAGCTAATCTACGACGTCTTTCCAGTTTTGAAGCTCTCCAATCTGCGACCAGGTTGATTTAAATGCCACTTACTTTTTTTAATTTCTGTAACAACATTCACGACAAATTTTTTTTAATGTCTGACATATTGGTTCAAATGTACATGGCTGTCGAAACCCTCGAGTTAGCTCCTAGAACTATACGAGTTTACTAAATTGCTTAAGTTTTTTTCTTCGTTTCAGGATTCTTCCTAAAGATTTCGTAAGACTGGATCAAGATATACTTTCACCTTTAGCTGGAAAGAAGAAGTTGTATACATATGAGACAAATGATTTCTGGGAGCAAATTAAAACTCCAGGGTACGGTTAGATATATAGTATCTTAAACACTTCTTTAATCTTTTAACGTTGGACCGTGATTGGATTTTACTTACCGTGTATACTTTGCATGAATAGCCTGTCTTTGAAATGCTCGGAGTTGTATCTTGCTCAATTTCGATATACTTCCTCGCATCTTTTGGCCAGCGGAGATGGTGAAAAGAATGCTAAAATTGTTGGTGATGTATATATTCATCCGTCTGCGAAAGTTCATCCATCTGCAAAGGTAAATTCCATTCATCCATTTGCAAAAGTTCTTATACTATTATCCCGCTTTAATACACGAGCACATTTTCTGTTTTGAACAGATTGGTCCGAATGTTTCTATCTCAGCAAATGTTCGTGTTGGTGCTGGCGTCAGGTTAATCGGTTGTATAATATTGGACGATGTTGAAATTAAGGTATGCAAGTGGATGTCTGAGACGCACTATGTCGTCGAGTCGTCAATATATTAACTAAAAATATGCTTTTCTTCTTGACAGGAAAATGCTGTAGTTATAAATTCCATTGTCGGATGGAAGTCTTCGCTTGGAAGATGGTCACGTGTACAGGCATGTTCGGTACATTTTACTGATTTTAGAAATTTTTTTTGAATAAAATGTTTGGAAAATGAGCATGAGATTTCCAATTTTGATTGGTTCAGGCTGATGGTGATTACAATGCAAAGCTTGGCATAACCATCCTCGGTGAAGCTGTGACAGTTGAAGATGAAGTAGTGGTGATCAACAGCATTGTTCTTCCTCACAAGATTCTTAATGTCAGTGTACAAGATGAAATCATCTTATAAATCATCAGAAATGAGATTTTTACTCATCAAAAGAAGAGGCTTGTAGCATAGCGATATTCTCATTTCCATCTTTTGCTTCTTCTAGAAGTGATAAATTATAGTTCAAGTTCAAGTCTAAGTAAAAGGAAAACGATCACTTCTAAATCTAATACATCATCACAGAATGTGGCTGCAATTTTTGCTGATGTATGGATATTTCAATGTATTGTTTCACTATCCTCGTTTTGTTTAATGTCAATTATTTATGTGCAAATCAAACTTTTTGGGTGAATTCAATGCTTATGCTGATATTTGAATAGTCATGAATCCTATTTTTGCCCTATCACTAGTGATTCCAATTTTCCATTTGTAGAGAGATTCAATTGTCAAAATCAATAAAAAGACCATCATAGACTAAGATCCAAACAGATCAATCTTGCTGGGAGGTACTGCCCAAGGAAAGGAAAAGGTTACTTTCGGATCAGGAATAATAAATAAAATTAAAATAAGATAAAATCGTATATTGAAACGACTTATGGCATCACCGAAAGGATCGAAATCACATTTGTAGGTCTACAATTTTTTTAGATAGGTCGAACTATTGGAAGCAAAGGGAAAAGAAAGATCGAGTAATATCAAAGAACAAGGTGCGAATTGTAACATTACCACAAACCACTTGGTTCTTTTGTTCCATTATCGCGGAGCGGCATACCGAAAAAAATAAAATAGATTCGGGTCTGGTCTGGTCAACCCAATCATGATATTTCAACACATTGGGGCTATGTGACTCGAACCGAATTCTTCCACGACCCCATTTCCTTCGTTGCCATGATAATTCATTGCATTTTTCTTCTCAATTAAACTTTTCTTTGTCATGATGATTCATTTTCTACTTTGCCATGATAATTCATTTTCTATTAGTAGCAATCTATTTTTCCTCTTAATTAAACTTTTCTTTGCCATGATGATTCATTTCTTATTAGTATCAATGGTAGAAGTCGGATCCTAAGATATCGAAAATAGAAGAAAGTGATTCCCTTTCTTCATATAAAGAGATTAAATTTTTGCAGATACAATAGAGAATCAAATTAACCAAATTTATCAGATGTAGAGGCAATCAAGAAAGCTGCATAAGTAAATACATTGTATACCTCTTCTTAATGTCGTATTCATGTTAATGCACTTTCCAATGATACGTAAATAAGGAATTTCTAGTCTTTTATAGAGAATATGAATCATAGAGATTTATAATCAATCATTTTAGGGAAGAGTAATAGTATTTCATTACTACAAATATGCATTATTTTTCTTTAATAAAACATGTATTTGAATACTTCCCTTCAACTTAACAAAATAAATTGGATTATTTATTTGACATACACAAATAGTTGAAGGGAACTCTCCGAAAAAATAATGGATTATGAGAATGCGTGACTTGAACTATTGATTGGATCATGTAAATATATGACTTTATCTGCCACATTTGAATTCACAATGAAATGTGTCTTTTGTTCCAACCACCGTGCAAATCCTCTATAGAGGATATTCCGGTTCGCTTGAAGATAATCTTTTATGTATTTATTGGTCGTGAATATCTAAATAGAACAAATTACCCCGCAAGTCTCTTTATTTGCTTCAAAATAAATAGGCTCGACCAATCACAATATGGATTATCAATATTAGTGGATCTTCTCAATTGAAAGATCCTCTAATATCGACTTGAGACGACGAGAAAGAAAATATCTATTTTATTTTATTATTCAGCTAAATCAATCATTCGTTATTGGAACAGATAGTAACAACCATCTCGTCTGGAAAAAAACCACTTTTCTCAACAATGTCCTTATGATTTAAATCAATAGGGTTTCGTTAAATAGGAAAATATTTGATAAATATTGATAACTCTCATGAAGTTACACCTAGCCCATGAGCTAGCTTATTCTAGGGAGAGCTCACGCTTTTTGGGTGATTGGATTTCATACAGTTGCACACCACTGAAGCGAAGGTGGTTGAGTCAAAGTTAATTGATGGAAGTCTTCTTTTGTTTCTCGATCTCGAGGGCAAAGTGATGACAGCGAGACTAATCTCATGAATTAGCTTATTATCCTAGGTCAGAATAACTTGATAGAAGCTCCTCTTTTTTTTGCCCCATGTTGCTCCAAAGAGCCACATGAGACAAACATGGGGAAAGAGAGGGATGGGGTTTCTCTCACTTTTTTTTGGCATAGTGGACTCCTTCGAAAAGCCCACACATTTAACATAATGGACTCTACTCTAAGATAAGAAGCGAGACATTTAAAGACGTGCAACCGTAAGCATAAGTTGTACCAATTTCTTTAGATGTTAGAACTGTAGGAAGAGTAGCGACTATTGTAATGCCCGTAATTTAATTAATTAAATTATTTTTAGAATATTTGTGAAGTTGTGTTGTGTTCAATTGGATTTAATTATTTTATTAAGTGGATAAATAATATTAGAAGTATAATATTATTTGATGCGGGCTTGTTTTAAAGGAATAGAAGTAGTAATAAGGGGGTGTATTAGTTTAAGCCCAATAAAGAGTTAAGATAATAATAGGTTATTTTATTATATTGTTAGAAAGAATAGAAAATAAGAAGCAGTGGACGAATAAGGGTTGGAAAGAAGAACGTGAAGCTGCTGGAAAAAGAGGAAAAACGGCAGAACGAGGTTTCGATCGAAAGTTATAGAGCGACCTTCAATCCAAGGTAAGGGTGGGGTTCTGACTCTATAATTGGGTTTATGATAATTGGTATGTGGGGTTAGAGGTGATTGTTGTCTTGTTCATGAATTGAATGTATATGATGTGGTATGATGAAATTGATGAATTATAGATGAACGATGACGTTCTGATGCTGTGTAATTGATGTAGAATTATAGGATAACTGTAAGGGATAATTATCCATGATTAGATTAAGTTTTTAGGGCTTAAAGTATGGAACTCGTAGTGAAAACACAGAAAATTGCAGGAATTATGCAAAACAGAGCAATATGCGTTGACCCCAAACATGATGTGTCGATACAAAAAGGTTTAGAGACTCAGGATGAGTCGACACGAAGAGGTTTTGCATCGATACATGAGGACTTTTAGACTCAGGATGAGTCGATATATATGAGCATGTGTCGATACATGTTGTGTGGAAGACTCAGTATGAGTCAATCTAAGAAAGGATGCGTCGACTCATGTTGCGAGTTCATTGCAGTACGCGTCGATCCAAGGAGTTATGCATCGACCCATGTTGTATGTTGTTTTTGGCAGAATCGTTTAGAAAAGGTTGTAACTTGAGTTTTCGGACTCCATTTGAGGTGTCATTCGAAGCGTTGAATAGCTAACGCGATGACATTTATTCTTGAGGATTAAAATGAAGAAATAAGAAGTGTAATTCTAGTAGCCAATTTAGGATTTAGAGTTAGTTCCCATGTTGATCGTTATGTTGGTTTTTGTGAAGAAGGATGAAGACGAGATGCTTAGAGGCTGTTGTTTGATTTGTAATAGTAGGATTAATAATAATAACGGTGTAATATTATAGAATAGTAGTATGTAGAGATTTAGTGATTTAGAAGTAAGCCTTAGTTGGTTAATTAATTATAGGCAATATCTTGTATAGGCCTATGGCCAACGTTGTGAAATTGATGAGTTACTGTCGTATTAATGTACAACTGAGTTGTTGATGAGATGTTATTAACAAAGTTGTGTTTGATAATTTATGATGAATAAATGATATTTGATGAATTATTATGATGATATGAGACGTTGATGAAGAGATGTTGAGATGCTTTTGAGATGTAGGTCTTTGGCCAATAAAGATGGTGTATTGAGATGTTGTTAATTATGGTGTTGTCATTACATTCATGATTGTGTCGCATACATTGCATTTTGAGATGGAGCTTATGCTCGTTGAGATGACCTATATTGGCGAATATTGAGATAAAGGCTTATGCCTTGTTGATGCCTCTATTAATTGAAAAAATTTTGAGATGGAAATTCTGCTCCAAATGGTACCACATGCATTTGCATAGTATTGAGTCACATTATATGACTGCATAAAGAAGTGTGTATTGATGTTGTAAATGTGTATTATTGTTGTGATTATTGTTTATTATGAGATGAGAAGTGGTGATGTTATGTGATCTAATTTAATATATTAATTATCATGCGCTTTATTATATTGTTAGATATCTCACCCCTTCTGTTTGAATGTTGCCCTTATGTTGGTAACGTGCAGGTAATCAAGAGTGAAGGTTGTATACCTTCAATAGTTTGAGTCGGTGTCATTGCTATGGTATGTAACACTCGGGAGGATGAACGTTTGTTGCTTTTGATTATTGATTATTCAGTTGTTGAACTTTAAGTTGATTATTATTAAGTATTTTTTGGTTTGAAGTTGTTGTAATAATGATAAAGATGTTATTAAGAATTCTGTTGCGTAGATGTTGAATTATTTAACTAAAGATGTTATGATGATGGTTCATCCGATGTTTTAAAAATGTTATATATCCACTATAAATACAATGTGTTTTGAAAGAAGAATTTGTGGCATCCCGATTCGTTTGCATGAATGATTTTATAACTCTGATTTATTTATATAATTGTCGGGTAGAATTGGGGTGTTATAACTGCCCTAACTCCACCAAGAGTTGCCTACACGAACTAGTTATGGCTAGCTAACTAGCTAAGAGAGACGATGTTGCCTACAAGTCTAGAAAATCTAATGTTGTGCCTTACTAATAGGGCCAAAGGTGATAGAAGGAAAATGCGACTAATCCTTTATGGTATGGCACATCTAGAACTACTAGCTAGAGCCATGAAGGCAAAGACAAAACCATAAGAGGTAGATTTACACGACATTGTTTCTGATCTGAAGTATGCTTCTTCTCTTTTATTCTTTTTCATTATAATTTTCGAAGACTAGCTAGCGCAGGTAGTGCTAGGGTAGCTTGGTTCCAGGCGTAGAAATAGCTAGAATTGGATGCAGAAAGTATGAAAAACATCTCGTAATGTA